CCCCGCGGGTGGTGGCGGGACGCAGCCGAGCCGTCGCGGGTGCTGGGGAGCCCGGGACGAGACGCAACCAAAGCGCGGGTCCGTGTCTCTGCTTGTTTTGAACAGCCTCGCCGACGGGTCTGCGCGAGACGACGCGGACGACCTTGCGCTGTCGGAAGCTGCCAGCGAGAGCCATCCAGCGCCGAGCATGGAGGACGCGGGGGATGCGCCGGAACGGGATCCTGGGATAGCGGCGAGCGACACACCGCCGCCAGCCGCGGAGAGCACAGCGGCGTTACGAGACGAAGCTGCGAGCAGAGCCGCAGGATACGCCGGCCATGCTCCCGCGGAGACTCGGGCCGGCTCTTCAAGTGAAGAGATGTATCTGTCCGACTCAGAGGGCTCGGACAGCGCAGCAGGGGAGGAGAGAGCCCCGCTCCCTGGAAAGTGCCCTCAGGCCGCTCCTCTGCACGCAGCTGGCGGCCACGAGGAACAGGAGCTCGGCACCGATAGCTGCCCGGCAGGTGAACTGGCAGCCCTGCTCTTGCCAAAAGCCCAAGGGGATGAGGCTTCGGAGCTGGGTAGCAAACCCTTGGAGGTGGCTCCCGGCGGTGAGAACGGGGTTGAAAACGGCGGCGCGGCACAGGACTCGGACCAGGAGGCCTCATCCCAGAAGCCCTCCCAGAACATTGCAGTGCAGGTCAGGTGCCAGTTCCTCGTCTGAAGGAGTTTGCTTGCCCTCCCCCCCCCCTTCCCTAGCTTGCTTCTTGGTGGGGTGGGGGCAGCACTAGGGACTGGGAGAGAGAAACGTTCCTCGCTCACAGTTTGCTTTCAGCATCGGGCGCTTCCCCCCAGGAAAGGAGTAATAGGTCCAGGCAAACCCATGTGGCAGCAAGCGTCTGGCTAGAGACCTCCTGAAACAGGGCATCGAATCTTAAAATCCTGTCACTTTCCTGACTTCGGAGCAGTCCATGTTGTCCTTTGGTCCACGTCTCCACCCACTGCGCGTGTCCTGCGGCAGAGAGAAGTAAAGCTTCCCTCGCTGTTCTGGATGGTCTCTGATTTGTCCCTTGCAGTGTGGAGGGCAGGTGCTAGGGCCCCTAGTCAGGTGCTACAGAAGACGGACAGTTTTGGTGTGAGAGAGACCTGTGTCGGTGACCATCCACGGGATGGTCTGCAGGCCCCCTGTGACCTCGGCACGAAGCACCTGCCTGGGAGCTTCTCAGATCTGTCATGGGGTGTCAGAAAAACCAAACTGAAAAAGGGGCCACCTGGGGATCAATAGGCACTCACTGATCTGTAACCCCCAGTCATGTCGCTCTGAGACTGAGGAACTGCGTGGAGTCCTGACCTGCCTCAGGGACCCTCGGGGGTCAGGAAATGCCCGTGTCTATTGAACCGGTGTTTGCATCTCCAAAGAGATCTAACGATAGGAACCTTCCTCCCTGTGCAGACCGACTTCAAGACGGCCGACCTGGAGGTGAACACAGACCAGGATATTGAAAAGAACTTGGTAAGCATTCAAGAAACACAGTCCCCGGCTAATCCTGTGGTTAGAGTGGGGCCCTGCCTGTTGCGGCTCCTGAACTCGAAGATCTTCCACCGGGCTGGTTATTTAGGGCCCTGGTCCTGGGGACTGTCACCTGCGATTCACTGATGTCAGTGGAAGCTGTAGTTGCTCAGCACCACTGAAAATGGGGCCAGAGTGGGTACTTGAGGTGACCTGCTCTTTTCAGAGTGCGGTGTGACCGGCCTAGTTGAATCCTTTTCTTTGACTGCAGGGCTGAGAACGGTACTGTACCTTCATGTATGCTTTCTTCACCTGTGGCAGGACAAAATGATGTCAGAGAGGGCTTTGCTGAAGGAGCGCTACCAGGAAGTGTTGGACAAGCAGAGGCAAGTGGAGAATCAGCTCCAGGTGCAGCTCAAGCAGCTCCAGCAACGAAGAGAAGAAGAGATGAAGAATCACCAGGTATCCAGCAAGGCCCTTGCTGATCGTGTCTGACCTGGCTGATGTGTCTGGCCAGTATGCTGCAGTGTGGGATCATTGAGTCTTGGGCTGCAGAGCCCAAGGTGATGGGTGCGCGTCAGGAAGGGATTCTTAGGCGGCGATGCACGCAGGGGATTCGAAGCGTCACATTTTGGCCTTTGCCCAAATCTGGAGGAAGCACCTAACATTTCAAAATCTTAATCGTGTGGACTGCACTTTAATGTAGAGCCTTTAGACAGCTCCTTCACTATTGACAGGCTCACATTTGCACATTCCTGACAACTACAGTTGTTCACACAGAAAACTAATGGCAAGAAACTATTTAAGGCAGTCGTAAGTGCAAGGAATTGAGGAGAGCTAACACCGTGTGACCAGTCAGCTCTCCCTGGCCCACAGCGTAGGAGCCGCAGGACTAGACCAGTTGTTCTCAGCTGTTTCCACACTGCGACACAAGTTAAAACAGGCATGTTGGCACCTCAGTCTTCTCCAGATTTAAAAGGATGCCACACATGCACCCCAGAGTCAGACGATTCATGGTATTGTTAGGTAGCAGGTTTAAAACAAGGAAAAGGAAGCTTTTGTTTCCCATGTCGTGTAATTCACTGGTGGGACTCCTTGCCACAAGATGCTGTAGAGCCTTGTTCTAGGACTGGCTTTCCTAGAAATTTTCTTTTAAAGCTCACAGCCCATGAAATAGGTGTGCAATGAATTGCGCTAAATCCAGAATTCAGAAACAACGAGACTTACTCTGCTTGTTGTGATGCCCGTTGCGCTCTAGGAGATCCTGAAGGCCATTCAGGACGTGACAATTAAACGAGAAGAGACCAAGAAGAAGATGGAGAAGGAGAAGAAAGAATTCTTGCAGAAGGAGCAGGACCTGAAAGCAGAGATCGAGAAGCTCTCTGAGAAGGGCAGAAGGTACTGATGTGGGGAGCCGGGTTTGGTTTAAACTCAACCTCAGTGTAATCCTGAAAGCTAGAACCTCCGGTCATTAGTGAGAGAGCCTCATCAAGGGGCCTTTCTGGACTGCCAACTATCAGTCGGCACTATAACATGTTGGGACGGTTGCCTGGAGGTTTAAGCAGCTGGGTACGTGGGATACGTGCTATGTGTAGAGGACCTAAAGCAAAGTGTGGGGGCTGAAGGATGGTGTCGTGGTTGTTGGCCACAGACTCTGACTGATCTCGGCACAGGAGAAGCGCAGCCGAAGCCCTGTGTACTTTGGAGTCGTTCAGAATCCTGTGTTGTTGTCACTCGGAGTGATCGGGGTCCCACCTTGGCCTGGTGGGCACATAAATGGTGTTAAGCCTACCGCTGCTGGAGCTGCTCTCTGCAGGCACTTTGCCGAAGCGCTCCATGTCTGCCTTGCGGGCCCTGCATGTAGCCGGCGTCAGGCGCCTGCCTCTGCTGTGCTGGGGGAGTTGGGGCATGCATCCACCCAGCTCGTGGCAACAGCCTCTTGGGTTCAGCTGCACTGTTACAAGAAGAAAATGAGTAGACTCTTCCTCATAAACTGGGGGATGCTTTGGGGTCCTTTTGGGTGGTGACCTCGGCCTTCCAGGTTCACACCAGTTGTCCAGTATTATAGGTCTTATTTTTTTGAGATCTCATTGATTTTACATTTTTTAACTCTCCTAAGAAATACCTTAGGATGTCCCAGTTAGCTGAGTGACTCCTTATTTCCCTGGAAATAAACAGGTGCAGTGCGCAAGAGCAGCAGTAGCAGTGGGAGAGCACTGTGCTTCCCCATCGAGACGTGCTGGAATGTGCTGTTTTTTTCACTTGGTTTCATGACACAGCACAGACTGTGCTCTCTTGAGACAGTCCTGGAGTCTGAGAGGAGACTCATTGTATAGCAGCGTTCTCAGAGTACATCAGTGTATAGCGCTCCTGACCTTGCTGGTCCCATGAAGTTCTGTGCCCTGCAGTAAGTGGCTTCAGCTTGTCTTTTCTCTGTTGTGCAGGTTACTGAAGGAGCAGGAGGAGAAGGAGAATAAGATTGCTTCTCTGATCGCCGAGCAGTCTGATGAAAAGTAGGACTCTATGAGATCCCTTCTGTTAAATGCTCTTCTCTGTCTCTTCCCTTCCCCTTAACTTTCAAGAACCCAGAAATAGCCATTGTCCCAGAAGAGCCTCCTCTTCTTGCATTAGATATTTTTCCTCACTTGGATGAATTTGCTGATCCAAGTAGGATGTGATATTGCTGGCTAGAGGCAGGTGGGATAGTGCGCATGCTTCATTTCTTCCCCAGCTGGTCTTCACTGGTAGTCTCTCCCTGGAATTGAACTTGGTGTCCCAGAAGCTGCTGCAGTCTCTTACCCCCCTGTGCTGTCCCTGCTCTTTCCCAGACCATTTCTAACGTATGGAACATTCTACGCTCAGAGTAGCAGTGGGGGTCAGTTCCCAAACTTTGACCCGAACTCAGTTGCTCAGGCAGTTCAAGGAGTGGTGGCAGTAGAAAGCCCTCTCATAGACCCCCCTCACCCCCCAACTCCTGGCTTGTCTGGGGCTTTGTTTCTGGCTTTGCTCTCCCAGACTTAGACATGCCTGGTAAGCAGGAGGCTGAAACACTACTGGGCACCCTTGGTACGTGCAGTGGCCCAGGCCGGGGGGAGAAGGGGCAGGGGTTTTGTTTGTTCCTAGTGTCTCTGTGCCCTGGCTTGGAAGGTGGGTTCTTGAGGGGCCAGGTGGTTTGAGGCTGGCCGTAGGAGGTGCAGCAGTACCTGTCAGGGGACACTGTTAAATGCTACAAGAGAGAGAGCAGATTGGTCTTGGTTCCGGGACGTGGCCCTGGAACAGGTGCCCAAGGGCTGGGCTGGCAGCTCCTCTGTGGTCTGGACAGCTCTGTGGTCTTGCAGCACTGGGAACTGTGTTGCTGAGCAAATGCCTACATGGACGTGTTCTCCTCTTGTCTCCAGGCAGGTCTGGGAGGAGGAGCTGGATAAGCTGAAGAACCAGCACAATGACATTAACAGGAACATCCTGGAGGAGACAGAGCGGGCTTGGAAAGCGGAGGTTGGTTGATCGAGGCCTTCCTTGCTGCAAGTGGCTCAGGATGCAGCTGCAGGTTGCCAGTGGCAGTTCCTGGGGTGACAGGATAGGGGCAGCGCTGTGCCCTGGTCTCCCCTGAAACACAGATGGGAGGAACAGTGACACACCAGTCTGCTGAGTCTGGCTCTTCACAGGGGCGACAGCCACTGCTGCACCAGTGCTCACTATTAAACATTAGTTGAGTGGGGCGCTGGTATGCCTCGCTCTGTGCGGAGCCAGGAGGTCCCGGTCTGAGATAACCCAATATGGATTGCTTATGTCTGTGGTTTCTCTCTGTTAGATCTTGTCCCTGGAGAGCCGGAAGGAATTGCTTGTGCTGAAGCTGGAAGAAGCGGAAAAGGAGGCAGAGCTACATCTGACATACCTCAAGTGAGTCCTATGTGGGGCAGGGTGACCCAATTCTTGCCCACCCACCCCTTACCCAGTGGAATGGGGCGGGGGGGGGCGGGGCACTGCACTGGTGCCAGGGCGGGCTTTCTGGTCACGGCACAGGGATTCGGTGAGGTTTCAGCTGGGCCAGGTCTTTGTCTTTAACCTGCTGCTCTGAATCTGCCAAAGCCCCATCTTGTGTTGCATCTGTTGAGTCCCTGTGTTGGGAACTTTCTTTGTCAGCGTCCTGCAGCCCTAACTCCCACGCTCACCATTCAAAGCTTGGCCCTTTTCAGTCAGGCTGCACCTTTCCCATCTCTGGTCGGAGCGGGTGTTAGAGCTGCAGTGGAGGAAGCTGGGAGAGGGCTGATGGACTCATGTGGCTCAGACACCTGTCCTGGTGTCACTTGCAGCTGTTCCCTTAAGGGCTTCAGGCTCAAACCCTCTTCCTGAATTCTCCTTGTCTTTGAGCAGATCTGCGCCCCCAACACTGGAGACCATCCGGCCTAAGCAGGAATGGGAGATGAGGCTGAAAAGGATACGGATGACCAAGGAAAACGTGCGGGTGAGGCAAAATAAATTGAGGCATCCAGCTCTCCCCCCCACCCCCACACCACAGTTGTGGCTTGCTTCCTTTGCCAGTCAGGTGGGACATTCCAGGGCAAACCTGTCAGTGGGCACTAGAAGAAGCTCTTGAGGGCCTGGCTGGTCTCTGCCATGTGTCCCGCAGCTCTCAGCAGTGACAGTGCAAGGAACAGGGCATGCTAATCGCTGCATGAGCTCCGAATACAATGGGTGCAAAAACTGCTGCTCCTAATGCCCAGACTGAGCCATGTCTCAGCAGATCTGGAACCCTGAGATGAAGGGCAGCTAAGGCCTCAGCTGGAGCATGGTATCTAGTGCTGGGCCCCACACAGGTGTGAATCCCATGAGGAGAGTCCAGAGGAAAGGACTATCAGAGTGTCCTCAGGAATGACTGTGGGCAGCTGCCCCCCCAGCACGTGCTGCGCCCACACCTGGAGATCCAGGGTGTGTGTATGGCACCTGCGGCTGGTGGCAACAGAGACTTGAAGGCAGTTGTTCCTCCCACCAGGCCTTTGACTTCTCCGTATGGTCCTCTCCAGCCAGACTCTGGCTGCTTCAAGGCGGGGCACTTGGTTGGCGTATCAGCCTGCTCAGGCAGGCCCTGGGCCCCAGTGTTCTGGGTTTTGCTGCCCTGGAAGCCAGGGATGCTGCCCCAGGCAGATGGCCAGATTTGGTAACCATACGAGCTTCCCCCTGTTTCCTTCCTCTCTCTAGGACCAGTTCAACGATCACATCCAGTTGGTGAGGAACGGCACAAAGCTGAGCAGCCTGCCGCAGATCCCCACCCCCACGCTGCCGCCGCCCCCCTCGGAAGTGAGTGTTGCCCCCCTGGCTGAGCAGCTCCCTCCTGCTGGCACTGGGGCTTGTGCCTCCTCTGAGGCTGGGGAGGGGGAGAGCCTGTCTACAGGTTCCCTGCATGCCAGTGTCCCTGGGGGAGGACCTGGGGAGGCAAACAAGCTGTCCAGAGCTGTGACCTGGAGCTGGAGGCCTGTGCTGCTAGCCAGCTGCCTGCTTGGTGGTGCCAATACGCCCACTGCACCCCTGGCAGCAGCATCGCATCTGCACTGTTGCCTACCAGAGCCAGGTGGGACAAGAGGGGTTGGGGGGGAGTCCCATCATTTGGCGGGTTAGAGATGCTTGTGGCCCCCGTGGACCTGCTCTGACTTGTGCTGCTCCCTCTCTCAGACAGATTTCTTGATGCCGCCATTCCAGCACAACCCGTCGCTCACTCCTCGGCTCCCGTTCCCCATCGGGCCAGTCCCAGTGCCCATGGTCATGCCCAGTGCAGATCCTCGCGCGCTCTCTTTCCCGCTACTCAATCCTGCAAACTCCAGGTCCAATCAGCCCTCGCCACCGCTGCCAACCTCCCAGGGGAGGAACAGCCCAGTGGTGGCTTCGCTTATTGGTACCCATGGCTCTCACATGACGCCCGCTGCTTCCATCCCGCCGCCGCCAGGTCTGGGCGGTGTCAAGGTCGCTCCCGAGTTTCACAGGCCGCAGCCCGCCGACAAGCTAGAGAAGCTCTTGGAGAAGCTCCTGGCTCGGTTTCCGCAGTGTAACAAGTGAGTGGGGCCTTGGCGAGGAGATGAGGCCCTGTGTGTTGGACAGCGGGTGGGGACGGTTGGGGATGTTGGCTGCGCCCTGGGGGAGGCACCGTCTGCCTGTGGGGGTTTGGGTTCCTGTGTGCTGTTAGCAGAGATCCCTGCCTGTACATGGGGGTGCTGGGGTCGCTTGCAGCTCCTGCCCCCCTTGCTACGCCAGGGGGCTTAGCAATGTTTGTGAGCCAGGGAGAGCATGACTGGCTGAGCCGAGATCTCTGGCACGGGGGACTCTGGGCTCAGACCCCTGCTCTGATGCTGATGCCCTGGGGCAGGTCACTTCACCTCCTGTACTTCAGTTAGGCATGGCTGTCCTGTCCTGTGACCAGGGTGATGGGAGCCAGGGCAGCAGGACCAAGCCTTCCCCATCAAAGGAGTGTGGGGCTGGTGCCTTGCTGGTGACTGATCCCAGTGCTTCAGGCCTTCACAGCACCACAGAGACCTGGTTCCCACAGTAAAGGGAACCGCTCGGTGGTGGGAGCAGCCGTGCCATGACACATGTCACCCGCTTGCTGCCTGCCCAGGGCCCAGCTGACCAACATCCTGCAGCAGATCAAGACCGCACGGACGACCATGGCAGGGCTCACCATGGAGGAGCTGAACCGGCTGGTGGCCGCAAAGCTGGCAGAGCAGCAGGAGAGGGCGGCAGCGGGGGCTCAGGTGGGTCTGCTGTCCAGAGGAGGGGCAGCGTTGAGGCCAGGAGTTGTTGGGGCTCAGCTCTTGAGCAAGCCAGTGGTGCTGTGGGGGGGAGGGTGGGGCAGGAGTGGAAGGCACCTTCTACCTGCCCCAGGGAGCCAGGGCACAGCTGAGGAGTGGTGTTGGCTCTGTCCAGCAGGCCCCCCTCACTGGCCTTTCAGCCAGGGGCCTGCTCCTGCCGCCAGCAAGTCCCCCCCCACCCCCAGTGCTAACACGTGGCTGAGGTGCTTTGTCTGCCCTGCTGACAGCCACTTGGCCGGATCAGGACCCCCATGTTTCCAGCTCCGCTGCCCCAGATCAGCAGCCCCATGTTCCTGCCGTCAGCCCAAGTGACCTACCCGGGGACACCGTCGCATGTAAGATGCTCCACAGCCCTTGCATGGGGTTGGGACCCCTTGGGTGTGCTCCAAGGGGCCGGGAGGATGAGGGGAGCCTTGGCCCCAGCCCACAGTGTGGCTTCTTGGCTCTGGAGGTTTGGGTTGGGGTCGTATTTAGACCCCTCCTGCCACGTTGGGCACAAGCTCTGTGCTGGGGGGATGGGGGAGCAGCCATCGTGATTGGTTTGGGGTGAGCCTGGAAGCGTCTCGGGCGTGTGGTGGAGAGAGCCAGTGCGCCAGGTCGCTGCAGCGTGCGAGCAGCCAGCGTCAGCCAGGGGAGGGGCAGAACCAGCTCGCTGCACCGGCCAGGGTGAGCCAAAGTGTCTGTCCTGCATCATGCCGCTGGCTCTCTAGCTCCGTCCCTCTGGGCTCCCCTGCCTCCCTGGAACCTCCCCTCCACATCCCCTTGCGTGCGGCTGGGGTGACAGGGTGGGCAGAGCCCTGGGGAGCGGGGGTGTGGGTGACACTGTGGCTCAGATGACTCTTGTGTCTCCACCTGCTGCTGGCCCCAGGTCCCCGCTGTCTGCAAGCTGTGTCTGATGTGCCAGAAGCTCGTGCAGCCCAGCGAGCTCCACCCGATGGCCTGTTCTCACGTGCTGCACAAGGAGGTAAGTGCAGTGCATGACGCCTGCCCAGGGCAGGGCAAGGCATGGCAGGGCATGGCGAGTTGGACTCCTCCCCTGTGCTGTCACTTCTAGCTGCTGGGCTCGAATGTGCTTCTCCACCTTCCTTGCATGGTGCTGTGCAGAGCCCCCAGGGCCCTGGCAAGTGATGAGAGCCCCAGAGCTGGGGACCCTGATGGCAGCACCGTCTTGCCAGCAGGCAGAGCAGTCCTCCCTGGGGGCCTGAAATCCACTTGCTGACCTTGCGCCTCCCTGCCACAAGGCAGCTGGCCTAGGGGTTGAGGTTTCTTGTCCTTGTTGGCGATGCCCCTCTCACCTCCCATGTCTGGAGGGCTAGACCCAAGCTTGGGCCCCCTCTGGAGCAGGACAGTGGCAGGGACCAGAGCAAGATGACTGACATGACACCCACCGCACGCATGCACTGCTGCGGGGGATCCCCGACCTCTCGGAAGGAATCTAAGTGATACTTAACCAGACCTCAGCATTGAGCCCTGGGGTGTCTCGGCCATGGGTTGCTTGTGAGCAGAGCCCGCTGCTGGTGCCATGGGGCCATCTGTGGCCAAGGGAACCAGGAAGGCAGGTAGCGCTGAGACCATCATTTCATGAGGAGCCAGAGCAGATCTCTGCTACCTCCCCGGATTCGCAGCCTGCAGTAGTGCAGTGTCTGCTGAGCTGCAGACCATGCTGTGGAAACTGCGCCGAGCCAGCCCAGCGCTAGGAGAGCGCCCACGTAATCCACCAGCCTTGCGTTCCTGGGCCAGTGGCTCTAGACCAGTGGTTCTCAGCCAGGTGCAGCAGTACCCTTGGGTGCCTTTGGGAACCTTTCCAGGGTGCTGCACTGTTAGATGTGCAGACATAGTTCACGAGATAAACAGGGGGTTTGAACAGAGATCTGTAAAACTGAAACCCTGCCAAGCTGTTGCAGCCGTTTGGCGTTCTTTCAACAGACGGGTTGCTCTGTTATTACTCTAGTCAACAAGTGATTTGAATCTCAGAGCTGGCGCGTTCTGTGGGCTCCTTGACTAACCGGGGTGCCTTGAGTCTCGGGAGTGTTTGGCCTGCTCTAAACCCACTCTCTCTTTCAGTGCATCAAATTCTGGGCACAAACCAACACAAACGACACTTGCCCCTTCTGTCCAAGTCTCAAATGATGGCCAGCTAAGCACAGATCCCTGCTAGAGGCGGCGCTGGGACTGCGCAGGACCGGTTTGAAGGTTTCTACAGCTCTATATTTATATGACCATGTATACACATGTACATTTTTATTATATAGGCAATGTGTGTATAGAAAGTCTGTATACATACAAGTTCATAAATAAAAGTGTGTATATTATGCAGAGGTCATGTGTGGCCCTCGCTTCAGCCTTGCTGCCTTGGCCAAGGACCATGTGTGGCTTGCAGCCATGGGGAGCAAGGATGGGTCACGCCTGGAGGCTGTAGCTGTTGAGGGCAGAGTGCAGAGCCCAGCAGCGAGAGGCTTCCCTCTGCTGCCCTCGGGAACAGCAGAGCAGGGCCCAGCTTCTCTGCAGAAGGGGTCGTGATCCTGGGACACACGAATTCTCTGCTGCCTTGCTGTGAGATGTGGGCAGGTGCCTCTGCCGTGGGGATCGCGATCCCCTGTGGGCAGGGAGGGGTGGACTTTGCCCATGGACACGAAGCCAAGGCTGCTGCCTGGGACCTTGGCTGCAAGGACTGTTAGGAGAAGTTGTGCACTGCTTCATGAGCCCCCGTTGTGACTGCTGCCCCAGCAGGCCTCAGCACCCCCAGCTCCAGCGGACGTGGGCAGGGGTGGCCCCTGAAATGGGGCTTCCTGCTCTTGTCACTCTAACTCCCCACTGACCCAAGCAGGGTGAGCCTGCCACGCACTCTCAGGGCTGGGCAAAGAGGCCAAGGGGTGCCCATGGACCCAGTCCTGGCGATGCCACAGGTACGACGTGGGAGCAGACAGGGTTCCAGAGCAGCCCCAGCCCCCTAGGCATTCACCCGGTCCCCCCCAGTAAAGACCCACTGTAGCCACCGAGGCTCTTCTCTGCTTTTAATGTCATAATTTACTGTGGTAACATTCATGATTCTTACACAGACATTAGGGTTACAGAGGACTGGAGTCTGCTGCTGCCCCGCTCCCCGGCGCTGCTCGCAGTCCAGCTGGCTCGTGCCCCCCCGCCCCCGCCGGTCTCGGCTGCTGCGAGGCTGGGCCCGCGGGGCAGGAGCTCTCGGGGACGAATGAAGCTGGCTGCACTGCAGCTCAGAGTAACAAACCTTTCCAGGCCCTGCCCCCCTCCCCTCCCCTCCTGCTCTGGCTCCACGGCAGCCTCCTCTGGGCAGGTTGCTTTGGTCTCTCCGTGGGCTGGATGGGTGCTCAGCACCTCTCAGTCTTACTCCTGCTTCAGAGATTGCAAAGTCTGGGACAAATTCAGCAGCGGTGTAAGCGCCGGCAGCTCCAGGCGAGGCCCCTGGATGCGCCCCCTGTGCTGGGCAGCTGGATGTGGCCCCGGTCTGCGGGGCTCTACACACACAGGTGTGTTAAGGCAGTGGCCCACGAACGAGTCTGGTGTCCCGGGGAGGTCCTGGGCAGGCAGGCAGGCAGGCACTGGGGTGTGGGGTCTGGGCACATCCCACCTGCCTTGCTCTGCCCTTCCAAGGTGGCCTGGGGCCCCGAGCTGTGCCAGAGCAAGTCACCGGGTGAGGGGGCATGGGCGCTGAGGCAGGCTCATGAAGCAGCGGGAAAGAGCAGCCTGGACCCCCCTGCTGCTCTGTGCTCCCCCGGGCTGTCTCTTGAGCCAGCGCCTGCTCTGGGGATCCCTTCTGGGCTTCTCCCAAGGGGAGGGCAGGGTGGAAGAGCTCCCTCTGTCACCACCGCTCTGGGGGGGAGGGCTGGCACTGGTGAACACGGGCTTGTCTGCCCTTGTGACACCTATGGGCAGCAGCAGCAGCCTGGGGGGGGGACCCCCTTCCCCTGGCCTTTCCACACCCCTCGCAGGCTCCGGGGGGAGCTATGGCTGCTTCTGCCCGCCTTGTGCACTGCACCATCACACCTGTCATGGAGCTGCTCCCGCGGTGCAAGCTTACGTGCTCTGTGTTGTTCTGGGCCCCCTCCTGCCCCTGGCAGCTTTATGGGGGCTCTCTCCAGCCTCCAGCTCCCTGCTGAGCCTGCTTCCCTCAGCTCCATGGGAAGCTCCTTCCACCCTGCCCTCCCCCAGCCGGGACTGTGGCTGCAGTGCCCGGAAACCAAAACAGGGAGCTTAAGAGCAATGCTCTAAAAGCCATGTGCCCCCCCAACTGCCAGGCTGGGCAAGGCCGGGTGGGTTGCAGCACTGGAATTACAAGGATTGCGACGTGTATCTAATGCATGGGCCAGAAGCTCCTGGCCTCTGCGCACACCATGTCCTGCTCTGCTGCCCTCGCCTACGAGCAACCGTGTGTCTGGACAGCAAGGATGGCACTGCCGCCTGCAGACATCCCCTGCAGACTGGCTGTAGCAGGGGGCTCCTTTAGCACCCAAGCCCAGAGCGGGAAGAGACATTTCTCTCCCTTCTGCCCACGTGCTGGGGGAGCCCATCCCATCACATGCAGGGCAGGGCCCTCAGTGAGACGAGGCTGCAGCAGCAGGCGGGTGCTGGCACAGGCTGGGCCTGGCTCCTATGGCTTTTGCGGGGGTGGGCGGGCTGGGTAACAGTCTGGCTTTGGGGATCCTTCTTCAGGCTTGGCCGGGCCAGGTGTGCTCTCAGCTTGGGGAAGCAGGGTGCCAGGGCTGCAGCAGGGGCTACCCGTTCTCACCCTGCAGCTCTGAGCTGTGGCCACGGGCTGCGCTTGATGGGAGGTGTCAGGGTGAGAACGACCAGCCCCTCCCCAAGCTCTCAGCCCCAGGCACAGGCAGGAGGCAACCAGCCCAATACCCCTGTTTCAGGAGCAGCTGCTGCCTCCTTCAGAGAATGAGGTGCTGTGACCGCTCGCAGCCGAGGCCAGTGCCAGCCCTGGGCCACGGGGATCAGGTTGGGGGCAGAGCTAGAGAGAAGGAAGGCAGGAGGCAGGGAGGGTTCCCTGCCTGGGGCTCAGGGCTGTGGGCATCTGCCTCCCCTGAGCTCCAAGGACAGGAGGTGGAAGCCACTGGGGGAGGTGGCAGCTCCTGCAGCAGACGGGATCCTGTACAGCGCTGCCCCCACTCTCAGCGGGGGTCTTCCTCCCCACTGCACGACGGAGCCCAGTCAGGCTCCTGCACGGTGATCTGACCACCCAGCCAGCCAGACCCTTCCCTGACCCGCGCCCGGGACACCAACACCAGGTAGGTTCCCGTGGCTGTGTGCCCAGGGTCCACCTCCACCCCATGAGGAGGCAGCGGGTCACGGAGGGTCCCCAGAGAGAGCAGAGGGCAGCCAGCGCAGGGTGGTTCCCAGCTCTCTGCTCCCACCGGCCGTGGGGATGCAGCCCGTAGAGTCCAGCTCACGTGGGCATCCCATGGGGAAGAGAGGGGGCAGCCTGGGGGCTACGGCAAGCAGCAACGCGCAGGCACACGCACAGAGTACGACATGGCGAGGCGCCTCCAGGGACCCCCAGGCTGGGCTGAGCAGGTTTCTCTGTGCCAACAGGCCCGGCTCTCCAGGAGCTGCTGAGGATGGGGGAAGGCTAGGCCAGCGCAGGTGCCAAGGAAGAGGCTCGGTATAGCCCTGGTCCTCTGCCCCGTGACCGAGCTCCCTTGCGCTGCGGGCAGGTCTCTGCGGGGCAGAGGACCCCGATGGGGTCAAAGCACGACCCGCGGCAGCACACAGGAGAGGCCAGCAAAAGCCCCAGAGGTGCGACCCCTGGGCCAGGGCCAGGTGCCTCTGAGGCTGCTGCCCCCTTCAGCCTCTGGCAATGTGTCCCTGGCTGGGGCAGGTTTGGGGCAGCTGCCTCCGGGGTGTGGAGGGCAGTGACTCCATGTCTGCCTGGCGGACCGTGGAGGGGCTGTCCCCAGCCCCCCAGGGCAGCAGCACACCCGGGCTATTAGCTAGGAACCAACCAACTGAACCTGAAAGCATGGGACAGTGACCCCCACCAACCACTGGTGCCCTGCTCCCCGGCCCGGGGCTGCCCTGCCACCAGTACCTCGCCCTCCCTCGCTGCTCCAGTGCCCAGCCCAGGACCCGGCTGCTACAGCGGAGGTGGGAGGGCAAGGGGGGCACCAGGAGCCTGCCTCTGGGCAATGGCTCTGCTGCTGGCAGACAGGATTGCTCCCTTCCCCCTCCCCGCCAGACACCTCGTGTTCCAGGGGCAGAAGAGCCCGTGCCCCAAGTCAGAGCTGTGCCTGCTCCCGCCCTGGCTCCGGGCCCCCCAGGAGCAGGCTCCAGCAGCCCCCTCGGCCTGCGGGGCAGGCGTCACTTGAGCAAGGATATGTCGTCGGCAAAGTCGTCGTGGTCCCGCCGCAGGCCGCCATGACATAGGCGATGGTCATCAGTGTGGACTCGTCCGTCTGCGGGATGTTGTAGCCGCAGTCCGCCATGTCGGGGTGCAGGTACGGCCCCTCCACCGCCGCCCGCCGGAACTCGTCGTGCACTGCGCGTGGGGAGGGGGGGTGTCACGCGCCAGAACGGGCACCCGGCACTGCCTGGGAGCACGGGACCACCTGGCCAGAGCAGACCCCTTCCCCCAGCACCCGCACCTGCCCCCCCCGCCGGCTCCACTGCTCGCTCCCAGGCCACTGCTGTCAGCCCGGGTGGTGTCACTGAGCGCGCTCACAAGTGGCCCAGCCGGTCCTGCCCCCCCGCCCTCACCGTGGCAGGTGCTGACTGCAAAGCCGATGCGCTTGCGGGCCCGGTCGAAGACGACGTAGAAGCCCTCCATGATGACGGCGCCCATGACGGTGCCAGTGGAGGACTGTGAGATGGCGAACTTGTAGCAGTCATCCTGGGAGGTGGCCACATCCTCCACGGGGCGCAGGTATTGCTGGAGAGAGACAGGGAGCCGTCAGCTGTGCTGCTGGGGCGATGTGCTGGCCCCTGAATGGTCCAGCCTCTGGTTCCACCCACGACGGAGAGGGGGCTGAATCTAGACTCCAACCCGCACATTAAACCTCAGGGGCTAGGCCTGGCCCACCTCCCCTTCTCCTGCCCAGGGCTGCTGTTCCAGGGACCCCAGGCTGCACTGTGGCGCTCCCCACGCTTTTCCTCCTCTGGCCGCTGCCCTGGCTGCGCTCCCCGCCTGCCCAGCATGGCACGGGGACCCACCTGGGGCAGGATGGTGATCCGGAAGGACTGGTTGGTGGCCTCGCCCATCAAATAGAGTGAGATGACGGGGAAGATGTGCCAGGGGGTGGTGCCAACCTGCCAGCACACCAGTTGCTCCCCCAGCCAGAAGCCGTCGGGGAACTTCTCCGTCTGTCCGGCAGGGAAGGGAGAGAGTGTGAGCATCTGTGCCAAGATGCAGGACATTTGGGCAGGGGCCTGCCAGAGCCTGGTGGAGATGCATGCAGGGATGCAGCGGGGCTTTCCTCCTCCCTCTCCCAGTGGTGGGTGAGGTGAGCCCCTCTGCACAGTGCTCTGAGGTGCCAGCCCAAAGCAGCATGAGCTTGGGGGCTGTGGCTGTGCTGGGATGCGGCCCATGTCCAAGGGGTTGGGGTGGGGGTACTGACCGAAGATGCTGTTTTGATGGACTTGACCGCAGCCTCGAACACCTTCTTCGGCAGCCGGAGGTTGGTGGTCCCGCTGTCCACAATGCTCTTGTCGTAGTTGTACTGTAGGGGTGACAGGAGGTAACGTGGTGCGTGAGACGCCAGCCCCGCTGCTCCTAGGTGAGCTCAGAGCTAAGTTTGGGAGGCTGCACCCTCTGCGAGGTGCCATCTCTGTAGGCGGCTGTCTCACAGCCAGCGCTGGGCTCCGGTTCCAGCGTGATCCCCGCGCCTCCAGCAAACACCCGCTGCATCCAGGAGGGGCCCAAGCCTCAACTGCCTGCGGGTCAAAGCTCTCATGAATGCACCCACAGCTGGGGTGGGGGCAGTGCCTGCTGCAGGCTGTCTCATCTGCCCAGGGAGCAGCACGACAGCTCTGCAAGCATCTCGCTGGAGCACGTGGGAAGTGCTCCTGTGCACTCAGGAGTGATTTCAGCCAGGGTGCATTTGCTGGGTGTCTCGTGGCCGGTATCAAAACTGCCCTAGAGTTTCTAGGAATAGCACATGGTCAGTCCTGATCAGGGGAAGCCCTGCCCCTCTTACACGGCAGCGCAACGGTGGACCCTGTTGTGACGGACAAAGTGCGGTTGCTTGCTAGCCTCTGAATTAAAGCTTGGGACCATGAGCTGGTTTCACTTGCTCTGTGCTCCCACGACTTGGCACCACCCAGTAGTGTGTGTTTGTGCAGCATTAGAAGACCCCACTTTCCAAACCTTCCAGCAGTTGTTGGCAACCGCTAACGGGAACATGGTTTGCAAGAGGGAGTGTTCGTGGAAGTGGGGGGATCCTTCACAGATGTCCTTCTGGATGCTCGGGCAGCCCCAATGTCACCAACGCAAGACAAGAGGAGGCTGTGTGAGACACCCCACGTGCCAAAGCGGAAGTGGAAGCAGCAAGAAAACGTGAGATGGCTACAGAAAGTATGGGGAGAAGTGATGCTAAGCTGTGAGTTAAACCCAAGGCTACTAAGCCAGGAAGCAACAGGAATCCCTGGAATAT